CAACTCATTTATGCAAGAGCGTATACGCGACTAGGGGAAACTCACATGGGTTAAGCCACTAAGAAGACATAAGAATGCCTAATATTATAAAGGTAAGATTAACATGGCTATGACGATACATTTATGGAAGGTATGTGACAACTTAATGAATTATACAAATACGGAAATGAGAGACACTGGAAAAAATTATTCGTTACACTGCTCAGTTCAGCTCTGCAAGAGTAATAAGTAAAAAGACCATAGACTATACAATGTTTTCAATTCTTTGATACAGAAAATGTTCTTTTTAGACATTTTCGCCAAAAGGGTATTGCTATCAGCTACACGACCGGTCAAAGCAAAAAGTAAAAAACCCATTGTTTCACCAAATTTATATTGCCGTATAGGTGTGTTAAAGTATCTGTGACAAGATATGTTTGAAAATTGAGTAGATAGGATTTGACTTACAGTAAGAATTTCGAATTAATTAAAGATTAAGACTTTGTTTATATTAACTAATATGCTATAATATATTTATCTAAATCCAGCATTATACTACAGAGCTCCGTCAATCTATATTAATAACAATTTTCTTTTACACTTTATAATCGATTAACGCAACATTGTTGGGTTTCAAACTAATTTTTTATAGTCACATGATTTTTCTTTTCCTGAACCTTTACGATTTTATGAACTTAATGTATAACCAAATATATCCTGCAAAGACTTATTATCAAAGAACATCTTACCAGGGTCGTACTTTGCACGTACTTTCTCGAATTGTTTAATTTGATCTGATAAAACATTAGAAAGATAAGACTTCACATTTGGAATAAATTCCCATCTTTTTCCCCAATGAGGTCTAGAATAAATTAGTTTGTATAATTAGTGATTAACAAAATTTGTCACAGATAAAAAGCTTAATAGTTCCTTACTTTGCTGTGTACTTCTCAAATAATCTCTGTGCTATTACTTGTATGAATTCTTCCAAATTAGGAGTGCCAGTAACTGATACAAAATCCATTTGACAATACAATGCGTTTGGATCATTATTAAAAGCAGGAGATAATAATGCTTCAGTTGATTTTATGACTCTAAAATCTGCAATATAATTTAAAGGGAATTTTCCTTTTTTTGCAAATTCATATAGCTACAAATATAATAAGGTTATTCTGAAGAGCAACAAAAGTCAACCAATAAAATATTAGAAACATAATATTAGATACAATAATAAACTCACTGTTTTGATTACATGGGAAAATTCTGAAGCGACATTGGAGAAATCAGGATCAACCTTGAAACTGATTTCCACAAAATCAAACTTCGCACTTTCTTCACTAGCTACATAATGAATAGCATCAGGAGCTTGAAATACCGAACTAGTATTACCATTACTAATTACACTATTCCATATTGTGGCGGTAACATTCGGAGTTGTCTCGGGATTTTGTAAGTGACTAGTTATGAGCTCATACTGCTGAATAACGCCCTGTTTTTGAGTTTCATGTGATTGTTCGAGTTGCTGTTGTGTAAAACTCACAGGTTCGTCTGTTCGTACCCAATTCTTAATCGCAATTCGATCTCTATTAGGATCAAGAGGATTTGGATCACTCTGATTGAACCCATTGAACGGCCAATAAGCTATAGTAATACCATCAGATGATTCTAAAAGATTTTTGATATTCTGTGGATTATTAAGCCATTTGTTTGCTGGAACATAGATATCAGTCATACGAAGATTGTACATTGGTTGTGCACGAAAAGTCAACGAATAGATTGTACCAAGCAAACCTAAATGACAATAAAGTTAGAAGTGAAGGAAAAATTAATAATTGAAGTAAAAGTTTAGTAGTTACCTAAGTTGACTTTTGCAGCACTGAATTCTAATTTGTTTATTTCTTCACTGAATTCACATATTTCACCAGAGCTTGTGACGATTTTCATAGAGCAAAGTTGATCTGACATAATGCCTGAACTGGTTTTTGCACCATGTGATCCTGTTGCTATAACACCAGATACTCGAAACGTGTCATATAATGTTTCAGAATCAAGAGTAAGTGGTGGGTCATGATTTCGAAGTGTTTTATCAAGCTTAGATAATGATATACCTATTTTTAATTAAATAATAATTTATTCTCTTATATGTCACCATTATCATGATTGAATATACATATATAAAATTTTACCTGCTTCGGCAGTAACAGTCCAGCCATATTTTGGATGTTTTTGCACTGTCATTTTATTTAAATTTGTAACTATCACCAAATAATGCTCTGTAACAGATAGTGAATTTTCGGCATGTCCTTGAGCAGCATGTCGAATAGTTTTATTATTTATCTTTGCTAATTTTACAATATCTATAAGATCTTCAAGGGTAGATGGTTCAAAAATGGCATCTGGTGAAATATGAATTGCTCCATTCCAATTTTCCCATGTTTTATTTTCGATCGGTTTTACAGAGCGGATTACAAGACAATTAACCGTTTTGGATATATTAACAATCAGGATTAATAGAATTAACAAAAAACTTAAAATATATTTCACAACCATTATAGGTCTTCAATTAGGTGAATTAGAGAGTATATTTTATTGAAGTTGAAAGGATTTTATAACAGTCCTTAGATTCATTAAAAAATTACATTATGCATGTTACTTATAGTATAACACCGTGAAACATAATAGATAATGTTAAAACGGATTGTAATGCAAGATAATGCACGGAAAAAATATTTTTAGAACTTCGGAGGCTTAGCTGTTAAATTTATTGTAGATAATCCTTTTAATTGATTGACTGCCCTTTCGAAGGCGAAATTACAACTATTTTATACTGTTCGGAGAAAAATTGAAGAATTAGCTTTATCTTTAAATTTTTATAATTAATGCACAATGCACTTTACTTTCTTCCTTGTGATATCATCCTGATATCTAATTCTTTCGTACATGCTGTGATAGAGGCCTGCATGGGTCGGGCCAAAATTTAAAAATTTTAAAAACCTCTCAAAATTGCGGGCCTCTTGAGGTAAGAACATAGTAAAATGCAGTCCGAACTTTTTAAAAACATATTAAATTTTATTTTGCGGGCGAGAGGGCCGGCAAATGTTTAAATTTTTAGGCCCCTACTGTGAATATTCTTTGCTTACGTTAGTTATTTCCTTATAAGTCATCTGTTTTTTTGGCTTCAATCTTTATGATGTCGTAATTGTTTATTCATACCTAGTTACAATTCAAATTTCAGAAATGCTAGTCATTACGTGGACCAGGCTCTGCATCTTTGACGGGTCATTGTTCAAAATTGGTTCGACCCGGCTCAAACGGTTTTGGATAAACTAGTGATCTAATGTTTCGCAATATAAAAAATGAAAGAATCCAAATTATGTACAAGGCTGAGAGATTTTTCTTAATTTTAGGGTAGAATTTATTTTATAAACTTATACCTAATCCTAAAATCTTAAGAAATTCCATTCCACTTACAACATATATATCACAAGGTATTATTAAAAAAATTAATAATTGCTAAATATAGTAATTTTATTACCAAATATAGTAAGTTAATAAATTTTTTAAAAAAGTTTTAAAAATTTTAAAATATAAATTTTTTTTTTAATATTAATGGTAAGGCCATGCCTCTATCTTTATTGAATATTTATTTGAAATTTTATATAAAACATAAATTTACTTTTAAAAATATTATAAAAAGAGTAGAAACTTAGACTAGTTTATCTGCAACCTAAACAATAGTAGTGATTAAAGCTTATCTAGATTTGGGTGTTAGTGATTAAATATGAAAGGTTAGTTTGGTATTTGATCTATTGTATATACTAGGAGTTAATTTTAAAATAAATTGAATTAGAAAAAAAAGATTAATATAAATGTGAAGTAAATTAAAGAGTGGATTAAAAATGAAAAAATATGTTTTTAATTTTGAAATACAATAAAAAATTCAAATTTTATAATATATTTGTTGATTAAGATGAAGTAAAAATTTAATAACAAGTGTTATAGTTTTTTTAGATAATAGATTTAAGATAATAGAGATAATTTCATTTGATACTAAGCCTAATAAGGTTATAAAGACTGATGGTAGGTCTACTATATTGTGTATAATCATACAATATAGTTGTCTAATTTAGTAATATAATTTAGTTATAGTTTTAGAAATAGTATCAAGTGTATTTATATTTAGAGTATATTGTAATAAATTGTCAATAAGGTTACATAGTAATTGGTCAGATGAACATATTATCCAATGAAGTTGGGAACTGGTTTTATAATATTAGTACAAGTTAGTAGGTATAAGTAATATTATTTGTGTAGAATGTGTGAAGTAAGAAGGTCATCAAGTAGAATTTTAATTTTAAAGGATTTAAGAACTAAAGATTAAAAGTTATATGAAAAATTTGAAATTTTTTGATTATTGTTTATATATAGCCAAATAGCCTGTCAATTAATTTGATTAAAAATTTTGTTTTATTTTTGAAAACAGTTTTGTATAGTTCATAATACATAAATATATGCATAACAGATTATATAAATACTACAGTAAGAAGATAATTCTAAAGAAAAATTTTTAAAATTTAGAATATAAAATAGATTATAAATATTGCAAGGTATAAAAATTAGATATGCTAGATTATAATAGTTTTATACTAGTTGGTTAGTAAGCTTGTTATATACATTGTCTTGATGTGCAATAACTTTGTGAAAAATATAAAATTTTATACTAAATAAGTTTATTTAAAAAATATAAATAAGTTTACTTAATAAAAAATTAAATTTAATATATATTATAATTTTTAAAAACATTTGTTTAAATTAGATTAAATTAGATAAATTTATATTTAATATTTTTTTAAATTTTATTAATTAAAATTAAATAATTTTATTAATATTAAAATTGTTTTATTACATAAATTTAATAAAAAAAATCAACTAAATTCAATTACTAAAATTTTAATAATTTAACTTTAAATATTTATTAATTATAATAAATATAGAGGACTAATATTCATACTCCTACATTTGGTATTTGTACCCTCTAGCAAAAAATTAAAAATTTAAAAGTTTAAATAAAAATATATTGATAACTACCTAATTAAATTCAATAAATTTTTTTTTATTTTAATTCTATGTATACAAAAAATTCAAATAAAGAAATTTTTATTAAAATTGATTAAATGGTTATCAAGATATCTTTACTCAAAGTCAAAGAAAAATTAAAATATCTATTAAAATAGTTATACTAAATTTTATTAAAACTTTAAATAAAGATATCTTAATAGTCATCTAATCAAATTTGATGAACTTTTTTTTATTTTATTTGTTATTTTTATAGTTAAACTAGTCTTTTGGAGACTAGAGCTTTTTTATTCAGTATAGTAGGATATGGTAGCTCACAGTCTAATTATTTCAGAGTAGCTACCTTACATTAGAAAATACTGTACATCTAACTACACATACACTTTTAGTGTCTAATTTAAATAATCCACCTATATATAGGTTCTATACTAGCTACTATATCTGCAACCCAACTATGATTATTGCTTATTTAAACCTTCTGTACTGCAATTCTTATTGTATCATTAGAACATCTTTGTTACATGATGTCAGTCAAGAAGTTTTAGATATATACTTATATCCTTAGAATTCCTGCCTTATTTCATATAGATTATCCTCAAGACATCATTACTAAAGCCTTCTGTATTCTAATTTACAGCTAAACCTAGTTTACAACCCTTGCAAAGTTCATACAACTCTAGTATTCTCCTTTTACAACTTTACCAATACTTTCTACTCTTACAAGTCCTTCTATACTATCAATTTAGTTAGCCTTGCATAATGTAACTTCATGCTCAGATCAGCTGATGGACAGGTTGATGAACCCCTACCTAGAGATTCTTGCCCATACAGGTCATCTGCTCCAGGTTTTTTCTTCAGATCAAGATCTTTACAGATGGCACTGTCGAAAGTTGTATTGTATTATCTTTCCACTTAGGATTTTCAAGCAGGCTTCTAATTCAAGTATATATTTTACAGATTTATTCATGTAATATTGCACACTTCCAAAGTTAGTTTTGATATAACCAGAATTATAGGATCTACAAACCCCAGTTACAGATAAGTTTGCCAAAATAGAATTATTTTTTCAAAATCTGTTACTAATAAAAATTGAACATTGGACCTACTGCTTGAGAATAACAACCCAACTACTATACTAGAATCACTATCCTTCTTTTTTTTATTTGAATTCTATAAATACATAGAATTCATATAAAAAAAACATTATTGAAATTGATTAAGTAGTTACTAAGATATCTTCAGTCAAAGTTAAAAATAACCAAAATATCTATTAAAATAAAAGCTATATTAAAATTTTGTTAAAACTTTAAATAAAAATATTTTAACAACTATTTAATCAAATTTAATGAATTTTATTTATTTGAATTCTATGGATTCATAGAATTCAAATAAAAAAATTTATCAAAATTAATCAGATTGTTGTTGAGATATCTTTATTCAAACTTTTTAAAAAACTAAAATATCTATTAAAATAAAAGTTGTATTAAAATTTTATTAAAACTTTGAGTGAAGATATCTTAATAACAATCTGATTAAATTTGATAAA